CACCCCCCCCCCCCCCCCCCCTCTCTTTTTTCCCCAATTTGCCCAGACCTGATTTTGCAGCTGCATGGATGAATCTAGGAATAGTACAGAACAGTTTAAGAAGGTTTGAAGAGGCAGAGCAAAGCTACTGGACAGCAATTAAACACAGAAAAAAATATCCAGATTGTTACTACAATTTAGGGCGGTTGGTAAGTGCTTCTGAATAAATGGTAGCTATGACAGGAATCTCTGTGTGTCTGTTTATATATAATTTTGCTGTACTGTTAAAAGCTGATAGCTATTCCAGTTTTTCCAATAGTTCAGGGTGATTTCGTATTTTTTCCTATTGCATTCTCCATATATTCCTTCCATACAACCTTTGGTAGTCCTAGTTTTCATATTAAGAGGTATAAACAAAAATATAGATTGTGATGTTTTGTTCAAAACATTATTAATCATTTCCCAATATTAGAATATTTTGCAGTTATTAGTATATTGTTATGTAGTAGAGCTATGCAAAAAAAATCCCTTTAGATTCTTGGAAATATTTATATTAAATATTTACTTTATGCATATTTGAAAACAAGCCTGGCTCCTAGAAAAAAGCAGGATAAATTTAGTGTATAGCATTCTATCTTCCATACAACTATAGTATTCTTTTTACATTTCTTATTTTTGTCTATAAAAACAAGTTCTACTAGGATGGAATGAGACATTAACAGCTCTTGAGTGTCTGCAGTGCATGATAGGAAAGTAAAGCGTGAAATTACTGGGTTTTTCTTTCTTTTTAGTATGCAGATTTGAATCGCCACATAGATGCATTGAATGCATGGAGGAACGCTACAGTTCTGAAACCAGAGCATAGTTTGGCTTGGAACAATATGATTATATTGCTTGATAACACAGGTATAAGCCTTTTTTAATGTTTTAATGAATAATTCAAGGTCTAGCAAAACTTTAAAGCTTTATCTTTATTTATCTAAAAGGAGTTTTGCCTCTTCTTTGGCTACCCAGACAGTCTCTATAAATATCAGAATAACTTCTGACTCAATGCTTTTTAAGTATCACGTGAAATCCAGCCAGTAAATTGAATTTCTCGTTCTTACTTGAAATGCCATCATTGTGCAGACATGTTTGTATTATAGATCAAACTTCAAAACTTGTGAATTTGTGCTTTGTTGTTCTTTTGTAGGTGTTATCTGTTGAAAACAAAATCAGGGGCTTCTGTTGTCTCATTCAGTGGGATTTTACGTTTGTGTGTGTGTGTGTGTGTGTGTGATACCTGGTTTTCTTTTAAAAGGCATGTAATCAGCTGTTTGTATGCTATGCATGGTTGCAGCATGAAAGGTAGCAAATCAGGCTGTGTTAAAAGATATCTTCTCTTTTTCCACTGCGTGGGCTTGCAGGCAATCTAGCTCAAGCAGAGGCAGTTGGAAGAGAGGCCCTGGAATTAATACCTAACGATCATTCCCTTATGTTTTCATTGGCAAACGTACTGGGGAAATCACAAAAATATAAGGTAGGTAACTAGAGCTTTTTTTGAGTATTGAGTTTTGGGTTTGGTTGGGCTTTTTTCCCCTTTGAACTAGGTAAATTTTTTGTAGAACCTGTTTGAGTAGGTCATTACCGTAGAATCATGGAATGGTTTGGGTTGGAGGGGGCCTTAAAGTTCATCTGATTCCAAGCTGCCTGCCATGGGCCCGGACACCTCTCACTAGACCAGGTTGCTCAAAGCGTCACCAAATTCCAGTTCCTATTTCTGCCACAATATTGCTATGTGATTCTGGCCTATGTTCATCCCACCATAGTTTGGATGCCTGAGTTATGAATGTTGCTGCCCTAAGCTATGTCCGTGGTCAGCAGAGAGAAATAGGCTCTTAAGCACACTAGAGGGCAGTTAGGGTCTTGTATTGCTTCACTACCGACAGAGAGCCTGCTCTGATCTAGATGCCTCGTTCAGGACTAAAATTAGATGTGATGTGCTATTTCTTGCGCTTTAGGTATGTAAAAGAAGCAAAGTTTACCCATACCTGCTGTGAATTCTAGCCTCTTTGCCTCAAACACTAACTAAATTACAGGTATACAGATCTGCTAAACCTAGATTTATGATGGGATACCTGGGTAATCCTAAGATATTCTAAGTCTATTCATGGAGCAATATATTGAATTTTCTCTTGGATGCAGTTTACCAGCCTGCAAGTGGTACTTCAGCGTTAGCTACTTATATTTACAAGCAGTAAATATAAAGGAACTGATAAGAATGAGTTATTTTCCAGAAGGAATTATATGAGCTGACAGAGAAAAAAAAATCATACGGAGTTAATATATTTAGTTATTTTATTGACTTCATGGTCACTGATTTATGTATGTGATAGGGCAAAATTAATAATCAAGGCAATTTTTTGGATTCCTTAGAAAAAATAATTTACTGAGCTCTGGCTTTTGGAGGCTTTGATGACTTTTTGAATAGTGATGTTACCAACACTGAAGGATAATCCATGCAAAAATGTAAGATTTTATAATGCAAACTTTCTCAGAATAGATACATTTTTTCCACCAGTTACTGTGTCTACTTAATCTCTACAGTCCTGTTCAGCTCCGGAGTCATGACCTGTCTGCCTGTGATGTCCCAGCACTTGCTTTTTTTTGTGTTAGTAATGCTGTTGGACACCCCGTTACTGTTTCTCTAGACTGATTGGGTTCAAAAAACTCTTTCCTCTCTCCACCTGAGACTGTTATAAAATACATATTTTAGGTTACTTTAATGAAGTTACTGAAGGATACAAATTAACATCTAGAATGTATAAGACATGAGATTATGGAGGAGGTAATTGCTAAGGTTATTCTGGTGAGTCATGACTGTGAAAGAATAGAGAATTGTGTAGTTATTCATCAAGAAGAGCATGCAGCATGACAGAATAAAGAACCTTTCTAATGCAATGAGTAGAAAAAATAAGTTGAAAACAAGCTAGAAAACTTCTCCACATGTAGGAGAAACAAGTCCATCATAGTGGATTTAAAAAATAAAAAAGGAGGTAGGCATTTTGATTGCTAGCTCTAAAAGGTCGTTAGTAGGGGAAAATGAAGCTTTCAGGTCAGCATCCTGAGTAAAGCAACAGGAGCAGTGGATACAAGAGAATAAAGCAGGGAGCCAGTGAACGTTTTAATAGTTCAATATGGAGTAGTAGGTTTGTGTAGAGCAAAAAAAATATTCACTTGAAATTGATGGGTTATAACAGGGAGAGCAAATTAAGGGAATTGAAAAGTGGGATCGTTGCCTGTATTCTCCACCTGTTGGTCACTTGTTCTGTCCGCTTCTCCCTGGAGGTGCCATCATTTACCAGCTTGTGACCCCTTTCACTTCCCGCCACCCCCAACATGTTGCACAAGATTTATCAGTGACCTTGGTCACTACAGGAGTGAGTATCAGGAAGAGCCTTTCTGCATACCCATCGCTGGTAGTAACTCTAAACATCAGACGTTATCACTTCTAGGAGCAGAGACTGTCTGCAAAACCATGCAGCTAACTTCAGAAAGTGCTGTCTCTTAAGAGAGACAGGGCTGAAAAGTAAAATTGCTGAACAGAATTGGTTCTGTTTAGCTCAAACCAGGACAACTCACTTGCAAAATATAGCTGCTCAGATCATAATATTTTCTGTCACCTGGAAAGAGGAGACACGGGTGCTTTTTTCAGTGGGAGAATGCTAAATGATGATAAAAAGCATGGAAAATTCAGATTTCTTGTCCACCACCTCACCATGTAAAAACAAAGAAGTAGAGGGCTCTTTAAGGATTTTTATTGAGTATTTGGGATAGGAGGGGAGAAGGGGGAGGATAGAGACTGTCAAGGTAATGGAGGTAATTTTCAGAGGGCTGCCTGGCTGTGTCTGATGTGCTATATAACCTCAGGCATTTAATTTATTAGGTTACTTGTTATGTGTCTGTATAAAAGTTGTTACTGTATTGGCTCTGGGGTTTTTTGTTATCTCTTATTTTAAAAGACATCAAGTTAAAAAGGTTTTACTATGTTACAAGAGATTTCCTTTCAATAAGCACACAATATTCTCCTTCAGTTTCAAATGCACTTTGATTTTCAGCAGAAGATGGTTTTCCTAAGTGACCAAAAAACCTCCAACCCTTTATGATTTCTGTTTGTATCTACTCATGAATGATTTATTGTTCCAGAAACAAAAGTACATAAAGGATGAGCTGTTCTGGTGGTTTTGTTTTGTTTTTTTAATTACCATCTGTTACACCAAGTTACAGTTCTCCTTTAAATGCTTGTTCTTGTCACAATGGATGAAGAACCAAGCTATCTTTTAGTTCTTTGAAAATATGTATATACTGTACTTTTATTATGCATACATCTATACTTTTTCTGTAAAAGTACAATAAATTGGAACCATTCAGCGTTTTTTGTATTTGAAATAAAGCCAGACTGCAATTTTGTGCTGTGGCCTTGGCACAGATGGAATACGGTGTGCTTGCCCAAAGCCTTTGCTATATGCAGGGTGCAAGTTTCTCAGCAACACTGAAAGATTTGGCAATATACGGCAATTTGTAATATTATCAATGTACTGGAATGTACATTTACTCCATATATCTAAAGTAATATGACCGTGATGCACCCTAAATAGCCTTTAATCAGCCAGTATGCTTCTACTAGCTGCTGAGCGAAGTAGTGGTGATAAAAATGTTTTCAGCATGTAATTGAAGATGTCTGGTAATGGCAGCCAACTCTGAGAATCTATTTCACTAAATTTTCTGGGACCACAGTGCACGTGTTGTCCCATCATGCTTCAGCAGTGCAAGGGTGAGTCCATACATTAGGTGTTTCTCCTTTGTGTATGTGGCAGCTTTTAGGCATAAGATTCAACTGGACAGCACATCTTTCTCATTGTTTGCTGTTAACCTGCCCAGTGAAGAAAGGAGAGATTTATTTATTAGACCAAAATACTAAAATTTGCAATGTAATAAATTACAATTTTGTGTGACTTCTGATTACTACAGGCTTTCAAGTGCCAATCCACTATTGATTTTTAGACTTGCCAAATGTTTGAGCCCTCAGTATGTTTCTTGCGTGACTGAGCTAAAATCACAGACTGATTTTGACTGGAAAGGACATCCAGAGGTCATCTAGTAGAACCCCTGACCTAAACCAGGGCCATCGCCAGTTGAATCTTTAATATCTCTATGGATGGAGATTCTAAAACCTCTTTTCTTCCAGTGCTTGACCACCTTTTATGGTAAAAAAAATAAAAGATCTTTCCTTTTACCTGGTTGGAATTTCCTGTATGCCAGCTTGCATCCATTGTGTCTCATCCTGTCCCACAGGCTTTTGGAAAGAGTCTTATCTCCATCTTTTTCTCTGTGTCATCTGATAAGGTAACTGTAGATAGCAATAAGGTCTCCCCTTCAACTTCTCTTCTGAAAACTGAAGTTCTTTCAATTCCTTTTTGTATGTCTTGTGCTCCAGCCCCTAGCCATCTTGGTAGCTCTCTGTTGGACTCACTAAAGGATGTCTGTGCCCTTCTTGCAGTGGAGAGCCCCAATCTGAACACATATTCTAGATGTGGTCTTGCAAGTGTTAACAGAGGAGAAGGATTACTCCCTTGAACCTGCTAGCTGTACTTCTAGTTAATATAGCCCAGGTATGTGATTAGTCAACCCTGCTTTGAGGGTACACTGGTAGCTTTTATTCAACTTACTGTCTACCAGGCCCACCAGATCCATTTCTATAGAGCTGTTTCCTAGACAGTTGCCTCCTACAGCCTGTACTTCTGCATAGGGTTATCCCATCCCAGGTGCATGACTTGGCACTTACTCTTATTGAACTTCATGAGATTCCTGCGGTCCAATCCAGTTCAACATCATTATTGATCTGGATGATGGAGCAGAGTGTATCCTCGGCATGTTTGTGGATGACACAAAATGGGGAGGAGATAGGCCAGAGGGTTTTGATGCCATCCAGAGGGGCCTTGGCAGGCTGAAGAAATAGGCTCATGCAGTTCAACAAGAAGTGCAAAGACTTGCAGCTGCACAGCAACAAGCCTCTCCAGGCCTGGAGCAGTACATGCTAGTGGCCTCCCAGCTGGAAAGCAGCTTGATAGAAAGGCACCTGAAAGTCCTGGTGGACACCAAACTGAACACAAGCCAGCAACATGCAAAGAAGGCTAGTGATGTCTGGGTTGTGTTAGGAGCATTGTCCCAGCAGTCTGAAGAAGGTGATCCTTCCTCCCTACTGGTGAGGCCTCTCCTGCAAGTCCTGTGTTCAGTTCCCAGAGAGCCATGAACATACAGGAGAGAGTCCAGCAAAAGGCCACAAAGATGATGAAGAGACTGGAGCATTTTTCTTAGGAGGAATGGTTGAGTCTGGAGAAGAGAAGTCTGAGGGGTGGGATCTCAATCCATGTAAATGCCTGAAGAGGGGAGTGCAAAGAGTACAGAGCCAGGCTCTTTTCAGTGGTGCTGAGTGACAGGACAGGAAACAATGAACCTAAACCAAGATGAGGGATGTTTCTCCTGAACGTC